GCGTCAGCACCAGCTTCCCGGAGCCTCGCCCATGACGTTCCTTGGGAGATCCATTCGGCTCTGCAGGAGGCTTTACTCTCTCTGGGCCGGTCCCAGGTTTCTGCTGTGATCTTACATCTTGCCAGAGAGAGAGAGAGAGATTCAGGCTGCTTCTCAGTTAATTTATCTGCTTGCAGCGTCTTAATCTGCCTTAAAAGGTCACGGATCCTAAACTGCCTTTGGTTGGGTATTTCTCATTCACACCTTCCCCACATTCCACAGGTTACATGCATATTCATAAGCAGCATGGTTTCTAGGCAAAACCGGGCCTCGTGGCCTTGCGTACAAGAAATGGCATTGTACCGCAGCTAACGTGCCAAAGGGCGATAAAAAGCTTAACAGAACTTGTAACTAAGAAAGCCAAGGTCAGGAAAGGGGCAAAGAAGAGGAGTGTCCAGTTAGCTAGAGCCAGTGGGGAGGAGTGGGGTGTGGTCGTGTCCGAATGGTTGCAGAACAGCTTCCAGCATTCTAGCGTCTGTGTGGCTCTCACCGGCCTTGGTCATACTGTGGCATGACCCCAACACACCCCCAGGCCCAGATCCCCCCCCAGAAAGGTGTGCCCTGTGCTGCCCAGCTCTCTGCCGACGGGAACAAAATCTTGTAAGTCTGTTATTTCGCAAAGGGAATAATATGCCAGTTTCTGATCTCCAGCAGCTTATTCAGACACTTCAATTTATCCACGCTAGATTAGCTCAAACTGTAAAACAAGTTTATTAACTACTAGGAGATTTGATGTGAGTACAGGCAATGAGGCATAACAGTCAGAAACGGTTACAGCGAAAACGAAGCGAGGGTGTTTATTAATGCTTAGCTTCACGCGCTAGATTAGACTTCCACAGCGTTTCTCACCGATGCTTTTGATGGGCTTACCAGCCAAAGCCAGCAGGTTGGGAGTCTTGGCCTGCACTCCCGACAAGCGCCATGTGTCTCACGGTGAGTGCCGTGGGCGGGGAGAGGAGTGCCGTGGAGTGCTTGGCCCTCCATTGCACGGTGTCAGTCCCTCTCTTGAAAACCGTTCCCAGCTGCGCACTGGGAGACGGCCCCTACCTGGGGGGTGTTCCCTGCTGCACCTGGGCCAGCTCCCTTTGCTTCCCTCCCTGCTCGATGGCTCGGATCTCTGCTTCAGTGCAGGTTAGCAGCACCCCCTGCTCCTGTGTCTGCTGCCCCTTGGGGCAGGGCTGTGGGGTTTGGAACACGCGTCATTAACACCCTGTGGGGTGGATCTTGTCGCTTCACATCCCGTGTTGCTCCGTGTTTCCTGCGGGGCCAAGGCAGGCCAGCAGTCCGAGCTTTCCGATGGTACTTACAGGGCACGCTTGGTAGCAAGAGCGTTACAGCAGTGTGGAGGGTGTGAGGCCAGGGGTGTATTCTGTCTCTCCAGAGAGCCTGTTCGGAGGGACAGAATAACTGTGGTGGTGTTGCAGAGCCTGCCAGCAGCTCGGGGGTAGGGGGGTGGTCCGGCTGCGGAGGTGGGGGCGGTAGGGCCACACTTAAGACTGTTCGCTCCTGCAGTGTGGGGTGAGCAGGCACGTGATAGGGATGTTAAATTGAGTTTAATCAACTAGTGGACTGGTCAGCTCCCCCCCCCC